TCAAGCAACAATTATTCTTTTTTTACGATTCAAAGTTCTAATGAAATAAACATAGAGACGTATTTCAACATTTTTGTTGAGATGATGCAGATCGAATAACTTTCTTTACGAATGTGTTTGATGCAAGAAAAAAAGACCAAACATATTTTTTAACTTTACCTTATTTTTTTTATTATCTCTCATAATATATGTCTCCTACAAATTTCTGTCAATTCATATACAAATTTTTATTAATGAACGATATTTTTGCATAGAACATTGTAACAATAATTTGTTACAAATGTTTAGTTTTCGAACCTAAATAATTATTTACTATAAACACCACATGACTTTAATATTTAATTCACAAATAATCAATAAGCTAAAAACTATTGCATCTTTTATCATGTTAATTTTTAAATCTACGCAACGCGTGGACAATCCCTAGTTAAAGATATTCGAAGATTAATATTGGTTATGATAATAAGTAGTATTATATGCATTATAGGTCGGTTGCATCATCCGATCCAGTACATGATGATGTTGTAACTGATCATTATGTGCTTAGCATCAAGTATTAGGTCTCAATATGATGTTTTATAACTACGAGAATAAACACTAGGTTGCATTGCATCATTCTATCTATGTGTGATACAAATTATACATTTCTAGCTCAACTGATGTGTTTAGCATCAAGTGTTGATTATGAATATGATGTGGGTTTCCATCATCATTCTGATTATCTAGCTCAAGTTTTAGTGTCAGGTTCATAATCATATTTTGATTACCTTTCCCATGATTACCTTTCCCAAACAATTTGGGCAACCGATATACAAAAAGGGACGTCTCCTCTTAGCATTTTTGTTCACTTGATCAAATCAAACCAAAAAATATGTTGACTTATTAATAAGAGAGAAAATGATGATTAGAAGTAGAAACACACGAAATCTCAATTATCAAACGCTAACCAAATTAAATTTTCCAGGATAACAAAAGGCCCAAAGGCCATTAGTTCTGATACGCGACCAAACGATAAACCACTAGGAGAGAAACAAAAAATCTAATGAATCGGCCGAGAACCACATTCACTTATTACAAACTCCTTATTTATTAATATTAAACAACGATAAACACAACCAAACTCCATGCATGTCTTATTTTGAATTATCAAACGGTTAGCAGTCCTTGTTATCCTTAATTTTCATAGTAGCTTCAATATCCACCTTTGTTGCGTTGTATATTTCAGCCTCGAAAATCTTGTTGGAAGAGATTGTTCTATATGTCATTCTAACCTTCTCCTCAAGCATTTCATCAAAGAATTGTCCGTAGAGAATCATCTCGAATTCCGTCCCGCCAAGTCCTCCACTTCTGGTATCGTGTTCATCGTCAACTCTTCCGCTTTTGGTATAGGGTTCACCACCACCCTTGATCAATGTTTCCCTCCATCTACTATTCTCATTCCTTGTTGTTTATGAGATTCTTACTTCCCATTGATGATGTTGCTTCCTCCAATATATTCTTCCTTTTAGAAGAAAACAATCGTTTCAAAATTGAGGGACTCATGATATTTTGACTTTTTGTGTTATGTTTGTGTATTGAGTTAAAGATGAAGCTCGTGGTTCTTATAGCATGTGTCAACACTAAAAACATGACTACTTTTTCATTAGAAAACAACGGGCTAATAACCATAAATAAATTGTGAAAGAAGGTACACAATAATTCCCTCTTTATGTTTGCAACAATGTGTGATAAGTGAAATGTGTCTTTCAATCGTTGGTTTTGGGTCGTTGCTCTGTTTTTTAATTGGTTATTGAATTGTTGAGACATTGTTTTTTCTAATATATATATATATTTGGTTTCAGACTAAAAAAATAACAAGTGAAATGTGTTTTTAGCTCCTTTCCCATACGGTATGGACCGATTGTACGTTACAGGTGAAGAGTAGGGTAAATGGGTAGTAGTGGATCAAGATCAGAAAAATGTATTTAAAGTTGTATCCTTAAAACAAAAAAAAGTTGGATATACGGATATGGTAAAGGTAATTTTTATTTTTTTTGGGTCTAAAGGTAAAGGTAATTTAGGTAGTTAAAATTATTATCCAAACGGTCTTGGATAGTTAGAGATCACACAAGGTCGGTTCTTTAATTTTCATTCACGTGAAGCTTTTACTAGGTCTAGGAAGTAGGAATCAAATCATTGTTGAGTTCCGGTGTATAATCTGGGCCTAACAAAGCCTAAGAGCATGCACTTTCAAAACGTGGTGCTTGTTTCGGATTGTTTGGCAACTCATGAGGCTTTGCTGAAACCTAAAGAGTGGCCTAAATACCGAGCATTAGATATTAATCGTCTAAAGGCAGGTTTTAGGAGCTGCTCCTTTGAACTTGAATCTCAAAGCGCGAATTCGATTGCAAGAGAGACTGCTAAGAGTATTACGAGAGACGGCGTACGTTTCAATTCATATATGGCCGCCGGAGGACCCTCATGGTTACACGATTTGATTATTCGAGAAGCTCGATGTTAGCATCCTTTTCTCTTGTTATTGGGAGTCGATGCTATTTTTGCTTTGATGTTTTGCTATGTTCACACTATTTTTCTTTTCATTTGGTCATTGATTTGCAAGTTTAATAAAAGCTCAAGACGAATTAAAAAAGGATAATCAAAATTTATATATCACATCTAACCCAAATTTATATACAATTTACAAGTGAATAAATACGAATTGTGGTGACAAAATTGAGATTATATTACCTTGAGGCTTGATCTCACAATATATCTATTTTTCAACATCTCGAGTAAAAAATCATTCCATGAATCAATCGGACCTGGTAGACACCAATGTACACAATCATTGTATAGTATAACTTTATCTTCCGGTTTATGCCCAAATCTGCTCGGATGTCCATCTGGTCTTAACAACATTACTTGTGTTACATCTAGTAATCTCAAATCTAATCCGTTATTCTTTTTGTTTATTTTCGCAATGCGAAATTCATCGAGTTGAATGTTGTGCGTCTCTAGATTCATACCTTCTAACTCCGTCTCATTGCTCCTATATAACAAAAGAAACCCAAATTAATAGTTGTTTATGTTAAGAGGTGAACATTCGAAGCGAATCAAACTGAATATAGACTGAACAATATACCTATAGGGTCGTGTTCTCAAGCAATTTCCACCTTTATCCCATTCTCCATCCTCAAAATGTGAAGGTGCAAATGTTCTTAGAAACACCTCTCCTTTGAAATTCTCTAATCCATTGATAGTCTTAAACGTTGTTCTTAATGCTCTTCTATACGCGAAATGTGCCCCGACATTTCTGACTCCGGGAATGTAACAATACAAACATCCTATCCTTTTTTGTTTGTCAAAAAGAAAAAGTGGTCGGAAAAACCATTGCCCTGACGAGATGATGATGTAATCGAACCCATCGATTTGAGAAGCCCAAGATGGATCCGGTTCATCGAGGTAGAGATTGTAGAATGAGTTAGGACCGTCCGGACCGCTTTCCTCGGACCGAACCAAATGTGTAGTCCAAAATGTGGCAATTGTAAAGTTGTACGTTTTGTATTTCCATCTTTGGAAGTTAAAGTCTTTTTGCCGTGAGTCCAACTCGGGATGTTCCACCTGAACTTAATATTTCAATTAATGTAAATTTTTCATCAAGTTATTTAATTTGGTTGAAATAGTTTAATTAACAAAATGAAGTTATATTTATTTTAAAAAACCAGAAAATAAGAAATGAAGTAATTAATGAATTAATTGAATATAAGCATGAGATAGGGTACGTACCTGAGAGAGAAGGCATATCAAAGACTGTACGTGGTTTCTGCTAACGGAGTCACCAACAAACGCCATGTTTTTTCCTCTAACGATCTCGAGAAACTCGAAAGGATCAAACAAAGGTAGATCACAATCTTTTGGTTTCCATCTCCATTTCAAGAAACCTAAATCAGGTCTCCCAAACTTCATGCAGTTTTGGTGTTCGTGTATCGCCCAACATGTCGTGTTTGTGTAGTAAGGAGCTTTACGGTTTGGGATCCACTCACCGGAGAATAGATCGCACCGCTTCGGTTTTCTCTTTTTCCGACGATGCTCTATTTTAGGAGTTTCTTGATCATGATGATCAACGTCATTTGATGATGATGAAATGGAATGGTTTTTATGCAAAGATGATAGCTTGGGATCGTGATATGTGTCGTCATAATCATTATCATACAATGATGGTTCTGATGATGATGATGATGATGATTATGGGCTAGATGAATGAATATACGTAGATGAAAGCGATGGAGAAGATATTGCCAATGATGATGAATTTGATAAACGTTTGTATATTGATGATGGTGATGAATAATAGAGAGGATTACCAAAAAAGAGATAAAGGATTGGAGCTATTGTAAGTAGAATTAGTGGAAAGATCACTATTCCGATTCGTAACTTTGTCACGGGTAGTTCCATCTCATTATTCCCAAAAAATCCGTTATAAAAAAAATTTAAAAGTAAGAAACATTAGAAATGTCTATTTTTTATTTTAGAGGATGAGAGAGATGCTAGGAAGATTTCGGATTATTGGATTAGCATTAGACTAGGTAAACTAATGAGTATTTACCAAAATAACAACCATATTTGATGTTTACATTATCAATTTATTGTTATTGTACACGAGTTCATAAGTATAACCAAGTTTGATTCACGTTAAAGATCTCTTATTAATATATCTTTTTTTACTACGGATTTAATTTGTTTATCTGAAAAGCAATTCAACCAGTTGACTTAAAAACAAAAAAAAGCTTTGTAAACAGAGATCGGAACACACAAAAACGTACATTTCCAAAAATTTCAGATACAAAGACATTTCGTATCAATGAATTTGCTTTCTAACCGGTTTGTCTTGGTTTGGTTTAGCTGAGAGTTTGATAACCTAACGGTCCTTGTAAACCGTCTTGATCTGGTCCGTTCCTTCCAACCAAAGATGGCATCCATGGGAACAGCTTGCTGAGCTCATTTCCTAATTTCCTTGGCCTCACTTCCTTATCATTGATACCAAATTTCGCCCTTTCTATTGCTTCCATTATGTCTTCCCGCGCCACCGCTTCCCCGCCTGAAAACAATCAAGAGAGAGCAAATGCGGGTTAAACAAAAAAACCACGGCTTCTTCGTCTTATCATCCAAAAAGATCAGATCTTTAAACCCGGAAAGCAAAAAGATTCGGATATCTACTTAGATCTACAAAGGGCTGATGCGGGTTAAACCAGAAACAGCGGACTTCTTAATCCGGATAGCAACAAAATTTGGATATTTTTGAATTTTGATGTGTATAAGGTCACTTAAAACTGACCTCTACGAGCAGCGAGTAATGCAGCTTCATTGACAATGTTGGCAAGATCAGCACCTACGAATCCGGGAGTTAGAGAAGCAACTAGATCACATATGAGAAATGCATCTTCTTCTAGAGGGATGTCTCTCAGATGTACGGCCAAGATTTTCCGACGGCCTTCTTGGTCTGGTTCTGCAACCACAACTTTTCTAGAGAACCTTCCAGGCCGACAAAGAGCCGGGTCTAATGCTTCTGGACGGTTAGTTGCTGCAATTACAATGACTTTTGTGTCCGACTCAAATCCATCCATTTCAGTAAGCAACTACAAAAGAAAGGAAACAACTCCAAGCGTATCAGTTATGGTCTCTACATGTTTAAAACTTAAAAGGTTTCTAATTGTTAATCCTTTACCTGATTTAACGTCTGGTCACGTTCATCGTTGAAACTCCTACCACGTTTTCCTCCAACCGCATCGAGCTCATCAATGAATATAATGGAAGGTGAATTTTTCCTGGCTGCACTGAAAAGATCTCTGATTCTAGCTGCGCCTCTTCCAACAAACAATTCAACAAACTCGCTAGCGGAAACAGAGAAGAACGGAACTCCCGCCTCTCCAGCTACAGCCCGAGCCAACAAGGTTTTACCAGTCCCCGGTGGACCAACCAAAAGCACACCTTTAGGTAGTCTTGCTCCTAGTTTTCTGTAATTTATACTTCCTTGTAGACATGACACTATCTACAAAGAAAAAACACCATAACACACGAAGGTTGGATTTCAGACTTAAATCTAAAAACGCGGCATTTGTGGATCTTTTTACCTCCACGAGCTCGTCTTTAGCAGAATCAACGCCCTCAACATCATCAAACCCCACTGTGGGATTGTTAGACCGTCGCTTCTTTGCAGGGCTGTTAGATGCAGAGAGTTGCCGATAGAGAAGCCACATAAGAGGTGTTAAAGGAATCCATAAAGAAATGATTGTTATCAAGGTAGTCCTCATAGCCATCAATGCTGATTGAGGAGCTGAACTATAAGTAATCCCTTTCTCCCTCATCAAACTAAGAAGAAACTTCTCATCATGATCTACTTTTCTCGTCACATACTTCCACACAGGAGGCAACGCTCGAACCTTTCGCGGAGTAACATCTTTCGTAACAGCTCCAGTCACGGTTTCCACTATACCGCCATCAATTTGGACCGCGGGTTCTTCTAAAGTTTCTGACTTCTGAACCTCTTCAACAACCTGAACATTCTCATTAACGTTGTAATAGATTCGACGAGAACCTTCTTCGAGCAAAACCTTTGAAACAGAACCACCTCGAAGATTCGTCACGAAATCTGAGTAAGGAACAATGGATGGAGACGGAACAGCGGTTAACCTCAAGAACAAATAACACAGCCCAAAGATAACAGCCACGCCAGTAGATAAGATCACTCGTTTGATATTCTTTCTCAAAAACAACCGAAAGTCATCCATTGATGCTCTGAAATCAAATCTCCCAAGTCTCATGCTCAATAATCTTAATCTAGGTCGAAGCCTAAGAGAAAATCTTCTTCTTCTCTTCCCTTTGCTTCCACCATTTTCACCAATACGACTCACCTTATCTCCGTAATCACCATTCACAAGACGCTTAATCTCGCTATTACAAGAAAACCCATTTCGATAATCGCCATGAACTCTAACCCCTAATCTGGTTTCCCCAATCTCCAAAAACCCACCAAGTCTCCTGCAACTAAACGACTGATTCTTTCTTCTAGCTACACAAACATTCTTAAGCTCACTACTCCTTGAAGACACCGTTCTACTAGATTTCTCGGGAAATTTACCTCCTTTGAATAGAAATCGATTGCTACAGAGAACATTGAAAGTAGCCATGGATTCTCTTCCCTGGAAATCGAATCATGCGTTGGTCATATCTGGGCACAAACGAAACAATCAAAATCCTACGAAAACCCACCAAGTGCAAGCGTTCAGATTGAATTGGAAATGGAATTTGGAAAGCTTTCGTCTTGAAAGCTGATGACTTTGATGAATGTTTTGGGTGGTTCGATTCAATTGAAAAGGATAAGAGTTTGCAACACAATTTGACTCTCTC